CCTCACAGAAACTTGTTTCTGTTTTCTAGACTCTTCTACCTCACTATGTGGTCTCTGGATAATAATCAGTTGCATTATTTGATTGTGAACTCTGAATATTTGTCCTTAAAACTTATAAAAATTAACTTTCATATGTACTAGTAAAAGAATGGGCATTTGAAATAATTTCAAAAGTCCTTTTATTTCGTTAAATTTTAAACTTAAGTTATCTTTATGATAAGTGACTTTCTCTAGTTCTTTGAAAATAAAAATACTATTTTTTTTCTTGTGTTTTTTTTTTAAACGTATATTTATTGATTTCAGAGAGGAAGGGAGAGGGAGAGAGAGAAGAAACATCAATGATGAGAGAGAATCATCCATCAGCTGCCTCTTGTACGTCCCCTCCAGTGGGGACTGAACCCACAGCGCAGGCATGTGCTCTGACTGGGAATCCAACCATGACCTCCTGGTCATAGGTCGACACCCTCAACCACTGAGCCACGCTGGCCCAGGCAAAAATACTTATGTTTTAAGAGAGGTGAGGGTCTTGAGTCTAGCAGGGTGCATTTAATATTTTTATAATGATCACTAAACTTGAAATCAGGTGTTCAGTTTCACCACTGACCTTGCCTGAATGACCTTGGGTGAGCCATGACCTCCAGATACAGTTTTCTCTTCTTTAAAATGGATATAGCGTCTTTCATGATTGTTGCAATAGTGAAATGACATAACGTGGAAATAACCAGCATAAAACCTGGCATAATGTAGGCGTTCTATCTCTGAAAATAATAGGATGAAGTATATTTTAATTAAGCTAGTTCTATTTGGAAACCTTTAATAAGAATGATTGTGTTATAATTATAGTTAAAGATTCCTGGTATACTTTAGAAAAACAAGACACAAGAAAATAGCAAGCCTTTGTTAGATCCAAAGAGCTATGGTTAATATTGAAAACTCTGTCATGTTGGGAATTTTTCATTGTGGAAATTAGCTAATTGGTTTTTTAAAATATATATGTGCAGATTTGAAGTGGAGGAAAAGGAGCATGAGGTGTGAGTAAGAAAAGGCTTTGCTATCTTCACTTTCACTTTTGGTATGGCTTGTTGCCATCCTGTCACTCGCTGCGTGACATAGCCCCCAAATCTTTTTTTGTTTGTTTTTTTATGTGTGTATATATACATTAAAAGTGTAGAAATCAATCATTTTAGCATATTCATGGAGCTGTGTAACCATTGCAACAATCAGTTTTAGAACATATTCATAATCCAGAAGGAAACTCTGCCATTTTTTTTTTTCAGCACTCCCACTCTAGACAGCCAGTAATCTGTTTTCTGTCTCTATGGATTTGCCTGTTCTATACCTTTCATCTATATATATAAAAGCCAAGCGACTGGAACGACTGGTTGCTATGACATGCACTGCGGCCGGCCAACCGGCCCGATCTGGGACGGGGCTGGCCAGCCAACCTCCCGTGGTCCCTACCCCCGGCTGGACCCCACCTGTGCACAAATTCATGCACCGGGCCTCTAGCATAAGTGGAATTGTACATTATAAGCTCTTTTGTGACTGGCTTCTTTCACTTAACATATAATGCTTTCAAGGCTCATCCACATTATATCATGTATCAGGACTTCATTCCTTTTTATTGTCTAATAATATGTCTGTATGTGTATACCACATTGTACTTATTCATTTATCAGTTGATGGACATTTTGGTTGTTTCCACTTTTTGACTATTTTGAATAACTAGAGGCCCGGTGCATGAAATTCATGCGGTGGGGGGGGGGGTCCCTCAGCCCGGCCTGCACCCTCTCGCAATCC